ATAGGCCAAGTCATAAAAAAAAATGTGCTACACGAGTTCAGGAAGTAACTAAAAGTTGGCGCATTTAATGAGGATTCCAAAATAGCTCGTGGTGATTTTGGACTACCTGAAAAGAGGATTTTTGTCTCGCTCACACTACGCCAACTGGTTCCCTCCATTTCACTCAAACTATAATCGTAAGTAACAGACTTGAGGAAAGCCTTGGGGTACACAAAACTCATTTTAGACAGGTAAGGACAATTAATTTAGAACTGGGCTTCTTTACAAAAACAAATATCCATAATTTAACAAATAATCTTGCAAGAAGTGTTATACCATTTTCGGAATACTTATTAAATGCGCCAACTTTTAAAGTTACTTGGTAAACTCATGTAGTTATATTTTTTAAGTACACTAATTAAAAACTGGGCAAAATATTAATTTTGAATACTTGGCTGGGAAAAAATTACATTTTCTTCTGGACTGGAGCCGTTTGCTGTAAAGTTTAAGCAACAGTTTTCAAATGCATTATTCAGAATTACATAATAATAAGAATTTAAAAATAAATTAAAATTTGTAGCAACAGGAGTTGAAAGACCATCTCACAAGGTGTATATTTTCTCGATTTTACTATAAATGCTGGTAATTTTTTTAAAGCACAGCCAAGATTTATATTTTTCTGTTAACTGTTATAACTCGATCTATCACCCGATTCCGACTTGACGTGCACGTGAGACATCCTGTATGTTCCACTCCTGGGTTTCTTTACTCACTTTACGTTTTTTACATTTCTTTCGTTCATTACGGATTCTTAATCAATGTAGAAATGTAAGTGTCTATATATATATATATATATATATATATATATATATATATATATATATATATATATATATATATATATATATAACATTCTTTATAAATTTAAAAATAATTTCGTTTTGGCACCTATAACTTTTTAAATTTTTCACTTCAACATATGGTTCACCTATGGTAACTTTAACCACCTAAGTAGCTCGCTGCTCTTTGACAGGCTGACTCAACGTATAATAATGTATATTAGAATAAAATAATTTTCATTAATATAGATCATAGCCATATTACAGTGTAGTTGCAGAGCAAGAATGTCTAGAGAGCAGGAGGCGACAGAGACACAACAACAAGAAAATAAATGACAATGATGTGGTTACCAACTCACCTACTAAGTGTGGCAACTATGGCCAATATCCCCTTTATGGAGACAATCTATGGGGAGGCTCATATTAAGTAGACGGTGATAAATTAATGAATAATATAAATAATGAATTTAAGTGGTTCAAAAAAATCGTCTATTTTAGGAGGTACCCCAACGGACATTTTATAATAAATAATAATATATAAAAACAAAGGAGCACACAATCCATCTGATCGTAAGCGGATACTGTAGGCTATAAACATTTATCCTCGATTAAGAATCAAAACGAAGATGCATTGTCACTCCTGAGGACTAAGATGGAATGCCTCGTTTCCAGTAAAAATATCTCTGGATCTCTACACTCACCATACAAAACACAGCAGTATTAAGCTGCTACTTTATGCTGGGATTCTGTGAGAATGTGGTCCTTCCCAGGTCCAGCCGACTCATTCGTGCTACAACCATAATATAGCTGAAGTGTGGCTCTACCATCTATGTTGTACAGTTAAAAATAAATATATTTAGAAACAACAACTTTGTCATCTAGACCGGATTTCGATTAAGGTGGCCAATTTCAATTGACTCATCTGATCTTTCGCTTAATAAAGCAGAGAGCTTACTGTCTAAATAAGAATTTTCTGCTAGGCCCAACCATATTGTATAATTTACTGTAATCAGCAGTTTTTCGGAGTAATATGACTAAGGGAACTTCAAGAAAAGAGCCTACCCTTTCGTCAAAGACTGACAATGCACCTGCCCTTCCTCTGATGTGGCAGATGTTCACGGGCGCCAGTTGTCACTTACCATCAAGTAAATGCTTGTTTGTCATATCTTTTATATAAAAGAAAATTCTTCATTGCAATTTATCATTATTCAATTTCAAAATGAAATTTATTAATTATGACTGTCTTAAGTTTGCTTCATTCCTTTATATAATGATTTTGATTTTTTCACTGACTGAAGAATTCGCGGATTGACTGATTTTAATTTAGTTTAGTTTAGTTTACTACGGGCTGTTTTCCGCAACTAAGCGCGTACTTTGCGTGTGGGCAGGAATAATATGCTTATTCGAGCCATGATATCTCCCCAAAGAAGCTCAGCAGTCCCTTAATGTTGCAAGCAACTTCGGAAAGCCATCCCGGCGTGCCGAGATGTTTAGCCCTGTATGAAGCGACTTCTGGACATGTCAGCAACACGAGAGCCGCCGTTTTTTTCCTCTCCCATGCATGCCCTGCACAGGGGGCTGTCAGTAACACCTATGGTGAACAAAGAGCCATGTCCTGCGATAGCACTTGTTACTATCCTGATCTGTGGCTTGTTCAGTCTCATTAGAACCTTGGTTAGATGACTGTTTATTTCAGGTAGGGCCTCCCTAGCTTGTGTACAGTCTAATACATTTTTCCAAAGCTGAGCGTGTAAATTATTGAAGTATCTACATACCAGTGAATGAACGTAGCCAAAGGGGATTGCTATTATTGGTTCCGGCCCTATAGTTGCTATGGCCGATCCCCTTCTGGCCAGTTCATCTGCTGCATTGTTTCCTCTACATCCCCTGTGTCCCTTGATCCATTGCAGAGTCACATTGTTGTGCTTACATACCTCATTCAATCGTTGATGGCACTCGTATATCAGTCCCAAGTTTGTCACACTGCAACTCAGAGCTTGTAGTACCGCCATACTGTCGGTCAGTATTCTGATGGAGAAGTCTTTCACCTTCCTAGCATCTATTGCTATGGCCGCTTGGATGATGCCCATGCATTCAGCCTGGAAGACTGTGTTGTGGGTACCCAGTGGTGGGCATATGTGGATATTAAGGTCTTCAGAGAAAGCCCCAGACCCCACACCTTCATTTGTCTTAGAGCCATCCGTGAAAACTTTGAGCTCTCTTGGACCCAATCCTTCCAGATGGTCAGTTTCCTTCAATTGTATCCTGTACTTCTTATTGAATAAAAATTGTTTTGGGAACATACTTGGCTTGTAAGATAGGAATTTTTGAGTAAATTCTATCGATTATATCTGTATGGGGGACTCTACTCTCACTTAAAAGATTTAGGGTCTTGAGTCTAATGGCAGCTAAAGTTGCTTCTTGTTGTATATGTAGATGAAGCGGTGTTAGCTCCAGCATAGCCTCCAAAGCTGCTGTTGGTGCAGTCCTTATGCAGCCCGTGGCAGCCATACAAGCTAATCTCTGGTAACGCTGAAGCTTTTGTATAGTGGTGGCTTCATTGGTTTTGGTCCACCATACCAGAGAGCCATATGTGATCATGGGTTAAATTACAGTTTTGTACAGCCACAGTATAATTTTTGGCGTTAAACCCCATCACTTGCCAATCATGTTTCTGCATTGCCAGAAAGTTAAACTAGCTTTGCTGATTTTGTTTTCTATGTGCTTGTTCCAGTTAAGTTTACTGTCCAAGGTAAGACCTAGGTAGTTTACCTCGGAAGAAAGTTGGATTTTTGTGCTGAAAGACTTGGAAGATGATAGTTATTCAGCATTCGTTTTTGTGTGAACATTACTATAACCGTTTTATTTGGATTAACGGTTAGGTCATATTCCCTGCACCATCTCTCCACAATACAGAGAGCCGCTTGGGTCAGGTCGCACATAATGCTTGCTGTCTTACCAGAGACCAGTATTGTCAGATCATCTGCATAACTGACTGTGTAGAAATGGTTAGTGTTTAATTTGCTGATGAGTTCATTAATGACCATATTCCACAGGAGAGGTGAAAGAATCCCACCCTGCTGATGCTGCTGATTGATTGATTTATAATACTTCAGTATAGACAATAGTTTTGTAATTTTCATGTGGTAAAATATATTGTGTGTTAAAATATATTGGTTCTCTCGTTTTCAGTGGGAAGCTAGGATTATGCATCATTCGCTTGCCAAGCTGAGTTTTGAGTTATTCAAATATTTCATTATCTCTTAAACTACAAGTTCAAATAACGTGCTAGGTATAAAGAGCAAAGTTTATCTTCATAAAATAGTCTTTGAACTTTCGTTCTGAAGGATTAATATCACATGCCTAATGATAACACTCAAAAATTGCTTTTTAATTTTAATAATTTTTTGTAACAAAAGACCTTATTGTGACTTAAGTATGTGTAACAAATAGGCATATGGTTTTTAGGTGGAGTAAAGATCAATATTTCTGTAGAACATTGTATTTACTTATCACTTACCACTACGCCAGCTCACGCGGATAAATCAGTTTAGAAATGCTTTGGCTTTCGACTTGCCTAACAAAAATCAATATTTAAAGCCAGCAGAGAGGTGTAGCCTAATACTAGATACTTTGAGATCTGTGATACCTACTCGATAATATTGGTTTGGCGGAAATTACTATGCTCTTCTCCTGACAATTGTTCAAAAAATTTAATTGCAATCATCAAATACTTTGATGCAAACCAGGTCAAATAAATGATACATTCACAATTGACACAGGTCTAATTGCTGGCCTAAGGTTGAGGATTTTTAATGTTGCTAAAAGAGCTATGGAGGGAGTTATGCTGAGAGTTTCTCTTAAGAAGAACAAGAGTAACCAACATAGCCCAACAGATCAGTAAGATTTAGTGGCAAAAGGCTTATATAGTTTGAACTGGCAATGTTTGAAAAAAATTAATTCAAATATACAAACTAAATATTATTCAGTGAACTTACATTCTCCAATGAATTGAAACTCCTGTCCCAGCTGCTGACAGGAGTGCCCCCGAACAAATATCCCGGATATCTCTCACACATTTATTAGTTTTATATATACACTTTATACTTGAACAATTAATTATAACCTAGTAACTTTTATAATGAGCAATAACTTTATAACAACTTCATGGTGAAATAAGATTTATAAATTTAGATGAATGGTATGCTGTGTGCTCCGGGAACAGAAATCACCTGAAAAGATAGAAATTTTATTGTGTTTTATACAGTTAATTTAGACATAAAATGTTTACTCAAACTTAATTTGTTGCACCATATGATGATGGCTTATGAAAACCCATCACCCCATTTCACTTCATCATCACATAGCTGTAAGAGATAACTATGGTAAGTTAAAAAAAAACCTAATAGCTTCCAACACATAGTGGTTTAACCAATCTCATTTATGTCAGAACTAAAATACCAACACTAGCTACAGGGAGCACCTTAAACATGCAAGACGCCTGGTAATTAACTTGTCAATCCACATGCAAAATGACACCACATGCCTGGTATGATGTGGCAACCCCTATTTTTCTCCTCCACTTGTAATTTACACAATTCGCTGCTATTAACTACAACCAGGATTTCGGTTTAAAGAACTTTAGTTCTCATTACTCAACCAGGATTTGAGGATATATATATATAGCTGTAGAAACATTTATGGTTTGTTATATAGATGAAATACATCTAATTTTCTTCTAATTAAAACTAATGATTACTCTGTCTGCATCCTAATAAATAAAAGTGTCAAATCAAAGAAGAAGACAAAATTTTTTGGTGTATTGCTATGTAAATTAAATGAAATTAATTGAAAGAAATTAATAAACATCTTGAAGTAAAGCCTCGCGAACCCGACTGTTTCCAAAAAACTTCAACAATATAGATTACATACCATGTCCATGAGACGTCCATAGACCACATACATAAAAATGTAGGTCACCTCACAATGATTCCTTCACTGTTGGGCACATAGTAAAGCAGTACTTAACAATTTCATTTACTGTCAGATGGGATTGAAACAAAGTTGAAAGCATACTGTGAAATTTATGGTGAGCCCTTTGTACCTGAATAACCATAGCTCAGACCTTCAGAAAAGTTGAAACATGTATCTCTTTATATTTATAGGATACCTAAACCCTCATCTGGAGGCTGGCCACTTTACAAATATGTTGCGTCTACTAAGGCCTTAGCAGGTAATTCCCGTGATATCGGCGCATAGCAATTAAATTAGAAATTTCTCTAAAATATTGTAAGGAAGTTATGTCATTTGAATTATTATATCATTTGCTATTACTCTGTAAATATCTAAGTTGAATAATCCTAAGAGATTTTATTAAGCCAATTTCAAAGTTAGGCAACAGAATTTTTAATAGTATTTTGTACTGTTTGTTTTGTATAAATTACATTTATTATATATATGAAAATCATTAATTTTTTCTAACATAGGGGATATTTTTTCTTTAATTTTGAGAAAGGAGCAATTCAAGTGGCTGCGATAATTTTAACTTTAACTCTTAATTTAGACAAAGTTTTAGTTCTATAAAGTATGTAATGTATTTATTAACAATAGAGATAAATGTAAGGTAAGGAAGAATAATGGCCATTTATGTTCAAAGAAAAAAAAAATTGAGTAAAAAGTATACACATCTCTAAATTACCAATAAAGAACTGTTAGTTACTAACCCTTCCATGTTAAAACAGCACCAAACTCTACTATTTAATCGATTTTGTGAATAAAAAAAGCGCAAAAACCAGGACAGGCGACCACATAAAAGCAATGTTCACATACAATGGCGACACAAGCTCTTTATTTGAAATTTCTAAACATTGTAGTACTTTAATATAATAGCTTTGTATCGCATCCTCTTTCTTCGGTTTATAGTTTTCTATAAGTAAAAGATTATCGCTGGTCATTTTACCCGACAAATACCCAGCTGCTGATTGGCTAGCATCTGGTCGCTTGCCAGATGCGTGTGATAAACCATTGGCCAGATTCTGGCTGATCGCCATACAAGGTGGTATATATATACTAGCCAAACATTCAGCATTTTATCTCCAGCGCCCCAATTAATTACAGGGGAATGCTTGAGCTAAGCCCCCTTGACCCCACATTAACAGAATCCTCAAATTCAAGCAACATGATAACCCAACCCCCAATATAAATTTATATATTGGATATATTTAAAAGATTTCTTATTTTTTACTATAAAATCATATTTAAAAACAATCCCCATTATGCGTTTTTCATTGAGTAAAATTTGTTTAATTATAGAATTATCGTTTACCCATAATCTATAACAACCCATGAAATTATAAGATTTTTATATGTAATTCTCTGTCAATAATTTAAAAATACAGTCCTATAGGCGATCAGTTCGAAATCTTAGAAAATCGAAATCTTAGAAGTTCGAATCCTTAGAAAATCACACAGTATTTTGATCTCGCGTTCTAAATTAAGCATATATATTATATACATTCACAAGTTTAATAAGTTAGTTTCGAATGCGGCAAAAGTAAAATAAAACTAATAAAATTAGGAATATTTACGTGGTAAGTTTGACAATCACTACAACAGCAAAGCACTGATCGACTGTTATTTTAATCGTTCAAATTGGAAATACCGTGGAAATACTTACAATTTAGTTTATACTGGCACAACCCTAAAATAATATTATTTTCAAACACTAGGCTAATCATTCAATTTTTATTTATTTAATAATCAAATCGTCATTCGGATTCACGGATCGCTCAGCACCATAGATAAATATATATGTAGCAAGCTACTCAGCACCACAGACACAATATATTTTCAGTATATACAAAGTACTCTGTGGAATATATAATTTTTTTTTTATTAAAAATATCGTAGACAGAGAAACATAGACAGAGAATCCTATTATTCTAGCATTCTCTGTCTACGCAGAGAAACCTATAGACTAATGATCGGCGTGGCCTCGAGTGAGCAAGGACGATAACGAATTTTTAGGTTATACAATAATCTTTATGACTTTTAAACACATTTAATTAGATAAAAATTTTAATTGTTCTAAGAACTAAACTGAACAAGATTCACCAATCTTAAGCTCACAAAATACTTTTTCTCACTTAAACCAACTTGTAAACTCCATAAATCGCTACGCTGTAAAAGTTGTTTAGCAAACTCTACAGTTTGCAAATATACCGGCATGGAGAAAGGGATAAACAATCACACCGCTCTATCTCATTTCTATGCAAGACGTATGCATAAATCTATCTTTTTCATGTGCGAATGCGAAAGAAGGCGTCAATTTGTCTATAGGTTTCTCTGTCTACGAAAAATATAATTTGGCCTATACACGTTGGCTAACACAGTGGCGAATGTAGTGGCGAATATATTGGCCGAGAGTTGGTGACGGCGTCCACACGTTGGAAGGTCGTTCTGTTTACTTCGGTTCGGGCCAATGTGCTGACGAATTTATTTTATTTTAGATGACGGCTCCGTGGCGCAGTGGCTTGGCAATGAGTGACTGTGCCAGGGGTCGCGGGTTTGAATCCCGCACGGAACAAGTATTTGTATATCCTACAAATAATTGTTTCGGGTCTGGATGTGTGTCCTTGTGCAATTTATGTTTGTAAGTAGCCTGCGCGACACAGGAGAAAATCCAGGTATGGGGAGTAACCATTTTATAAAATAATTATAAAAGAATAGTGAATATTAATGGGGCTGTAAATAGATATACGATATACGATTAGCTTTATTTATACTTTACATGCATCAGAAACTGGAATAAATACCATTAATTAGAACTTAACTTATTTTAAAGTTAAAGGAGTTATAATCTATTAATCTATGTTTTAAAATTGGATTTGTTTTTAGTTTAGCAAAACATGTACTTGCTTTTCTATCAGACATTTAATGTATATAAAAAACACCTTATAATTTATTTGATAATTTAATTATTTTTTGAGAAAGACAAAAACAATAGCAATAAATATAATTAACACTGACTTAATAATAGGTACTAATTATAACTTAGAACATAAATGAAAAACTCATGACAAGGAAAGTGGCTCAGGACCATGCTTTGCGGCATTCTTTGGAGGAGGATGTTCAGTAGTGGACTTGTGAAGAGCTGTAATGATGATGATGAATCCAAAACTTGCACGATTAAATTATAAAAAATCGACGCTTTTTTATATAGGATAGGGTGACAAACGAGCACACAGTTCACCTGATGGTAAGTGGTTGCTGTGGCCCACAGACATCTTCATCTATCCTTGATTACGAATCAAAATGCTGATGCGTTGTCACCAGTGAGGACTAAGATGAAATGCCTCGTTTCCTTTAAAAAGTGTCTCTGGTTCTCTACACTCACTATAAGAAACACAGCATCATTAAGCTACTATTTTACATTGATATTCTGTGAGAGCGTGGTCCTTCCCCGGTCGAACCGACCCATTCGTGCTACAACTATACTTCTAATATAACTGCATGGTTCTACCACGTATAAACGACGTGCTTCATTTTTTTTTTCATTTTAAAATGAAAAAAAAATGAAAAACTGAAGCTATGTTCTCAATAATCTGAATGTAAATAAATGTTCATTATTTTTTATATAAATAGCTTATCAGTTAAAACAAATGTTTAAAAATAATTAAATCGCGCTAATTAAAGTAGTAGGAATGTTTAAAGTTGAAATTGGCACTAAAAGGCTGGTAATTGGGTCATCCACCCTACAAAGCGTGAATATAAAATTTTAATCAGATGCGTGTAATCACTCTTGGAGCTTGTAGCAAACTAAACTCGCGGCCAACGTGTGGACGCGGCGACCAAACTCTGCCAACAATCCTTTGATCTTTTGTAAAAAACCAACACCACACGGGAACATCCCGTCTACACGTTGGCCAAACGTGGAGGGACAACCGCCCACGTTCTCTGGGGCCAGGGGTGAATCCAACATCGATTTAACCCTCGCGACCAGAGGTGTCACAATATCAGAGTGGCGAGTACTGGATTGCGCCAGCATGAGCGACCATCGCCTCATTACCTTTAAGGTCGCAAGAGAGCGACATGCGGAGCTCGCGGGGCCGGTGGAGGTGCCCGCCCGTTTTCGTGATCGGGGGGTTGACTGGCGGTATTTCCGCGGTACAATTCATTTAAGAATGGGCAATTTGGAAGTTAAACAGCCGGCTGACCGACTCTGCGCGCAGTTCACGGATATCGTCATCCGATCAGCGGAGGACGTGCTGGGGAATGCGCGACCGAGGCGGGAAGGCGGCTATGAATGGTGGACGCCTGAACTCGACAGGATGAGAAAGAAGGTATGTAGCGCGAGGAGGGTGTGGCAGAAGACCAGAAAGAAAGGCGGCAGGTTAGAGGAACTAGCTATGGAACGATTCCATAGTATGCGAGCGAGATACCGACAGATGATGGGGGAAACGGAGTTAGCTCAGTTTCGGAGAATAGCCGAAACAGGCAATATGGAACCATGGGGGCGAGCTTATCAGGTAGCTAGTGGGAGGTTCCGTCCTCCCACCAACGTGATAAATGGCATAAAGTTTGCGGAGGGATACACGGGGGGGGTTGGGAGAGGCCATGCGGGGCTTGCTCGTGGCGCTGTGTCCGGACGACGATAGGTCTAAGGACACGGGATACCACGGGCGAGTGCGTCTCATGGCAGCTCTCACTCCATCGGGGCCGACTGCCGTTCCCCCCTCCATTGGGGGTCTGGAGGGCATAGTTAGGGCTCTGCCCAACACTGCTCCGGGACTGGATGGAATCAGTGCAAGAATCGTTAAGAATGTGTGGAAAGCTGCACCTAGGGAATTCCACTGGGTGTATTCCAAATGTGTGGAAGAGGGGGTTTTCCCCGAAGTGTGGAAGAAAGGACGCCTAATAGTGATTCCGAAAGGGAATGACAGGCCACTAACGGATCCCAAGGCGTATCGCCCGATAACGCTCCTTCCCATCTTTGGGAAATTGCTGGAGCGAGTCTTGCTGCGGTGTGCCCCGAGTTTGATAAGGGGAATATCGAACTACCAGCACGGGTTTTCGCCGGGTCGGTCAACAGTAACGGCGCTGCAAGATGTGCTTAGCACTGCTCGCGAGTCGCAGCGCAAGTATGTACAAGCCGTCTTCTTGGACATATCAGGAGCATTTGATAATGCATGGTGGCCAATGATACTGCTGAAGGCTAAACAAGGAGGGATCCCACCTAACATCTACCGCATGTTGGTGGACTATTTCACCAACAGGCGAGTGGGTATATTCGTGGGTGACTGTGCCGAATGGAAACGCTCGACCATGGGTTGCCCGCAGGGATCAGTCCTTGGACCGACCTTGTGGAATTTACTGCTGGACGATCTGTTGAGGCTGCCGTTCCCCTTAGGGACGAAAATGTTGGCGTATGCAGACGATGTGACTCTATTGATAGAGGCGAACTCTAGAGCTGAAATAGAGAGAGCGGCCAAATCTGCACTGGAGTTGGTATCATCGTGGGGAGAGAGGAACCGGTTATCCTTCTCCTCCACGAAGTCATGTACCATGACTATTAAAGGCAAGTTCCAGCGACCACCTGTTATAAGGATGGGCACTGAGTCAGTTAAAAGCGTAACGTCGACTAAAGTATTGGGTGTCACGTTAGACACTAGTCTATTCTTTATTCAGCACGCCAAAGATATGGGAGAGAGGGCTGGGAGATGCTTTGGGAAGATGTCGCGGGTGTCGGCGTCTTCTTGGGGCATGCGCTATCCCGCCCTCCGTGTTCTATATAAGGGTACATATGTTCCAATAGTGACATATGCTGCGGCCGTTTGGGTTGATCGGGTGGGGAATTATACAGTGCGAACGGCACTGCTGAGATCTCAGAGATCTTCGCTCGTGCTGTTGACAAAGGGGTACAGGACGATAAGTACTGCGGCGCTCCCGGTATTAGCCGGCGTCCTGCCGGCCGATCTGGAGGTAACTCGTGTTGGTAGGATTGACCAGGCGCGTAGAAACGTTGAGAATGGGGAGTTGAGCAGGCGTAAGCGCGAAATTTGGGTTGAAGTTATGGAGGTATGGCAGGAACGATGGATCAACGAGACGAATGGAAGAGAATTATTCTGCTTCTTTCCGGACGTGTCGGCGCGGCTCAATGCGAATTGGGTCGTGCCGGACTATCAAGTCTCGCAGATACTCAGTGGGCATGGATGTTTTCGAAAGAGACTGCATGATATGAAATTGGTTGAATCTGGTATGTGTGATTGCGGTGCTGCCTATGAGGATAGGCATCACGTGCTATGGGAGTGCGAGTTGTATGATGACCTGAGATGTAAGATGATGGACGGAATAGTACGCAGAGGGGTGGGTCCAGTTTACTACCCGGACCTCGTGGACGGTAGGGAGAACTTTGGCCGGCTGCGGGAGTTTGCGCATGGTTGGCATGCGCGGAGAACTGCGATGGAGAGGAATCGAGACAGAAGTCTGCCCGGAACCGAAGGCGTTGTGTGTTCGTCCAGCCCAGAAAGGGAGAGTGACACTACGGGACAAGGATCAGATTAAATAACTTGTAGAGAGTCAAGAAAGTGCACGCGGGAAAGAGCCCAGAGCAAGTACCGCGTGCATCTCTCGAGATTCGGCCCGTATAACCGTGAGGTTGGTGGGGCCATGGGAAGGTGGAGGGTTGTCCCTACACGTTGG